TGTGTGTGTGTGTGTGTGTGTGTGTGTGTGTGTGTGTGTGTGTAGTGTGTGTGTGTGTGTGTGTGTGTGTGTGTGTGTGTGTGTGTGTGTGTGTGTGTGTGTGTGTGTGTGTGTGTGTGTGTGTGTGTGTGTGTGTGTGTGTGTGTGTGTGTGTGTGTGTGTGTGTGTGTGTGTGTGTGTGTGTGTGTGTGTGTGTGTGTGTGTGTGTGTGTGTGTGTGTGTGTGTGTGTGTGTGTGTGTGTGTGTGTGTGTGTGTGTGTGTGTGTGTGTGTGTGTGTGTCCGCCCGCTGAGGGAGCGGCCGGGCCATCTCCTCTGTGACAGCTTGTGAACTGAGCCATCGAGGAAAGTGTTGTAGTTTTCTTTTCTTTTTTCAACGGGTATTTCATGTCCTCTTTGATGAATGTGTTTATTGGCTACGTAATGAGAATCAGTTATGGTTGGTTAGTCAAATTATTTAACTTTATTAACCTTGGATGAAATTTGCTATGCAGACCCAAACTGGTGTAACATGCAAAGAGAATTATGCTGGAGGCCAGAAGGGTTCAATAATGATTACAGCTCTAATATAATAGAAGTGAAGTGGTTAGCGAGAGAGGATGGAATACATATATGTGCTTAAAGGCGGTAGGTAAAATAAAACGAAAGGGTACCGGGTTATTGTGTGTAGTCAAGTAGTTTATAGACCTATCGAGTTTACAGTCTGCGGATGATGAGGGGATGTTACATGATGGGGGGGGGGGGGGGGGGGGATTTGATGACAGTGATGAAAATAGCCCCAATGCTCAGGAGATATGTGCGTGAGGTCTGTGTTTATCCTGGTGCAAGTGTATGATTTTACTGAACCCTCACTGTGTGTGTGTATATGTATGTGTGTGTGTGTGTGGTAGCCAGGTAGTGCTGGCTGCAGGAGGAGCAGGGGTGACCAGTGCAATGTGAGGCCATGATGGGAGATTGTGTAGGGAGTTGGAGGTTGACACAGAGGGTCAGAAGGAGAGAAGGGGGGTGGGTGGGCACTAGATAGGGCTGCATGGATGGTGTGACAGCAGTGGGGGGGGGGGGGGGGGGGGGGGGGGTAGGAGGCAGAAGGGGACAGGGAGGGGTAATAGAACCACTCTAGTGCTCTCGCCTGGAACAGCTCAACCTTGGACTGTAATTACTAACCATACATCCCACTTTTGGGGTGACATCTCCCTCCTCTTGGACTAATGGTGGGGAATTAGAAGGGATCTTAAAAGTCACAAAGAGTGGGGGTGTTGTGCACTTTCTTACTTCTTGGGACAAGAAGTAAGAAAGCAGCTGGAACAGGTGCACACATCACTGACGGACAGGAGTTAACTTGTCTCTGAATGTTTTTACTCATTCACTATTTTCTGACTAAAAAACACGGGAGAACTGTAGCTTGATATTTAGGGCATGTAATAATCGTCATCAATTTGTATCATCACTGAAAGGTGTAGAGTCATTCAAAACTGTAATATTTGCATATTTATAAAAGAAAAAAAAGAAACGGGTGATTATATAATAAATAACATAACAGTTGCTAAATATATTCATAAAGACAGGAGCATTTATGACACAAAAAAGCCTTAGATGACAGGATCACATGCTTAGAATGTATTATCAATAGTGTGAGTATCCCATTGTGTTGTACATACGTTATAGGATGATTTATTTGTCACGTCACTTCCTGCTTTTTATCTATTTCTATTCAGCTTTAAACTCGCTATCAGGGAGGGCGCCATGCTTAAAACATGATCCAATGTTCCTCTTATCTCCATGAACAAGCCTTTTTTTGTTTTTTCTTCATGCCATTCTATACCTCATACACAATATGCTCAAAAGTTCTGCTGTTGACAGCTATGCTTCTTTATTAATTGTTTTATCTCTCCCATTTGGAAAGTGTTTACTACAGTTTATTGTGGTCGCAAGGGTCTAGCATTATGACGCTCAAATGCGATTGCTGACAGTAAATACTGTTCACTATAATAAAAGCAAGAGACTTCAGACACAGCCAGGGAGTTAGGAAGAGATGGGATATGATCCTGGGCAAAATCAAGGAAGTGATGCTGAGGAATTATTGGACCAGAAGGACTGCAGCTTGCACATGCTCCGCATCACCCTAAATAATTCTATAAACTCATAAACATCAAACCATCTGACGAAACTTGGCTGCATAAATCAGGTTGACTTCACCAAATGAAACTAGTCATACATACACAGACTTAAACAGTGTAATTACCAGTCTCATATTTATCATATTATTTGTTTGCTTCAGAAATATAACACACAACATATTTCTATATTGTGCAATACATTTAAAACTCTCATATATTTCATCGGCGTGAGTGATATGCAGTCTGTTCATGATCTGTGTTGCTCTTGTGTTCTTTTAGCCGAGCACAAATTGAGCTCTGTCGAAAGGGGATTGTGGGAACCGTGTGTGTTTACCCACAGGTCTTGTAATGATCGGAATTGACTTCTGTTTGCCCAATTGTACTACGGAGCTTATTTTAGTTAAATGCCTCTTTGGATGCAGATCAAGAGAGAGAAGGAGCAGGCTGTTCCGTTTGCCAAATAAACACGTTTACTGACGAGGCTGGTAATGATCTCATTACTTTGAGCCAATACACCTGTGTACGAGGGGGATCCAGAGAGGGGCGGCGGGCCAGGGAGGACAAACAAAGCGTGAAATCACTAAATCACACTCATTATTGGGGGATATCAGTAGGGCCAGGATCCTAATGTACCATGAAGAGCATTCACTGCTTAATGGATATTTTACACATTTTTTTAATGCATTTTATACATAACGCTAAAACAAATCTTGAGCCACTTACTGTATATTTTGTTGCATTGTGAATCTGTGGATTCAAAATATCAAAGGGCTGAATGTGTTGTCTTCATCTCCCAGCTTTTAAAAAAAGACCATGCACACGTTCTTCTTCCTTTACATCTGTTTTTCTCATGTCCTATTAGACAAAAGAACCTGAAAGATCATTACAGCCCAGTATAATAGCCAGGCCTCCTGTGGGTTGTAAAACAGCTTATGGCGTCTGTCAATCCAGCGGAGGACAAGAACCCCCTGTCTGACCTCCTCCATGTTCCACCATCAGAGTACAATGCTGAAACAGACTGTCAGTGTTGTACACCTGACCAGGAACTCATTTCAGTGCGGCCCTCTCTCCCGGCAACATGGCTGAGAGGGCGCCGTGGAGTCTCTGTTACAGCAACGCCACTCTCGTTATTTCACAATTAATGTCAAGCCCTTGTTATTTGTCATTGGAAAAACATGACTTCAATGCTGCTGCTGTTGTTGCTGCCATATTCTAATTTGTTCTCCATTATGGAAAACACTGGTGTCGATTAATTTCACTTTCATGGTTTGTACACACAACAAGTGAGTGTGAGGTGTTGTTGTTTACCAGAAGCTAGTACTCTTGTCCAATTTATAAACGCTGAAAAAAGCCTTTAAATGATGGCATGCTTGGAATCCTTTAAAAAAAACCTGTTTCACATTTAGCAGCTTCTTATGGATTGTTTTCTGTTACAAAAAAATGACATTTAGTTACATTTTAAATATGCTGTTATCTTAATACAAGACACATCCTTAACATTTCAGAGCTTACATATTTTTATTATTAGTGTTTAGATTAAATTATAGTGAAAATCCAGACATTTTGCATGACATAAAGAAGATTTTATGACATTTGTTTCCTATAGTTGGCTGCTCCAATTGCAAATTCAAAGGGCATATTTACTCCGGGAGTCACAGCGCTCGTTTTCTTTTCTGTCATGTTGTTTTTATTTTCAATTCCATTTCCTGTAAGTGGAATGATCTCGGCTCTCAGCCACAGTCCCCTCCATTACACCTAATAAGGTGTCATATAATTTAATTCCATGCTTCACTTGTCAGAGAGGGCTTCCAATCCGACTCCAATTTTGAGTTTTAATAGATATTAGTCCTTAGCGCTCTCCTCACAATTAGGCCTCCCAGTTTTGCTCTTAATGAAAATCAGATTAAGACATATAATCTAATTACAGTTCATATTAATCCACCCTCTGATACACTCTGCCTCTCAGACCCTATTTGCGACAATCAGTTATTGTGGCCGTCACTTTGTCAATCAGGGCTCTCACAATGTACACAGTATGTGTGTGTGTGTGTGTGTGTCTAACTGTGGTTTGTGTTTACTGCAGAGGCTGGACTGAAAAATGTGACGCTGCTCGGTGCTGTTGAACTTTGAGGGATAGTAAATGTCGCAGGGAATAAAAATACGGGGAAGGAAAAAAATGTTAATCTCATAAATTAATTCAACCTATGGGTTGAAATGACCCATTTAGACTTGTAATTTAGAAGTTAAATTCTCTCCCTCTATCTTCAGTTTTTGTCAGTTTTATCGTGACTACATGATTTGGATGGAGCCATGAAGTAGTCTTGGACTGATAAATTCTGTGTATGCGCGGACCTCGTTTCATGGGAGAAGCGTCCTTATCAGAGGCACTTTGATGTTCTGAAATATCACACCAAGGTTCAGTTTGAATGTCATGTCTGTTTGATTGTTCATCTGACGCTCTATTATGAGCCATGTTTTCATAATTACTGCCAGCACTCTATAATTCCCAATATAATTAACCTCCCTTCCTCTAACCCAGTACGAGCAGCGATACCTTCCTCAGAGCCGGCGGTCAGATCCAATACTTTATCTAATAAGAGAGGAGGAAGTCCACAATAATTCAATCAGTTTCATCACTTCAGAGAGAAATGATTAGCTCCGTCTACCAAACCACTGGGTTACTCAATGAAAGAAATTATATGGAAAATTGATAGGGATTTTAACTTGCACCCCAACCCCCACCGCCAGCATCACCACCCCCGACACCCCATTAGATTCAACCCCTGAGAATCAAAGTTATCTTAAGAAAAAAACTAATCTTTGAAGCGTGGCTCGCTCACATTTTTTCTTCTGTCTGTCTTCCTGTCTCCCTGATCGTGTCTCAGGCTTCGAGACAGCCAGGTCTTTTGCTCTTCATGGCGCCCATGTGATCCTGGCGTGTCGAAACCTGTCTCGGGCCAGCAAGGCAGCCAGCCTCATTCAGCAGGAGTGGGTAAGTGGCAGTCTAACCCACCATATTCCCGATATTATGCTTGGATCAATCAACTCTTTAAAATATAAAAATGGTGATGTCAAAAAGGTATATGAAAAGAACAGAAATGATTTTATTCTGGTAACACTTATTGTCTATTAAGCCAAAGATTATTCGGCTTATTTCTCGGGGTTTAAGGATACTCCCTGAAGTTACACCCTTTCATTGTCTTCAGGTTTTTGAATTTTTTTAAAACAGTTGTTCTTTAACCAAAACCAGAATCTAAATATAGAGGGTGTTTTATGTTGTTCAGATAGTAACTCTTTATTGAACAAATCTATGATTTCGGGCTACAAATAAAAAAAAGATTAGACTTGTTACAATGTGAGCAGTGGATGTGTGACAGACTTAATGTTACAATAATGCACGCATCAGTAACATTAAATATATAAACCAATTGTTTATATGGTCCTCATATTCTGGTCTCCCTTGTGAGACGAACAAAGCGAAAAAGAACTTCTCTTTGGGTGTCTCTGCTTAAAGCAAGAGAGAGGGAGAGTGTTAGTGAGAAAAAGAGAGAAAGTGGGAGAGGGCATCTGATAATTACCTGAGATTATTGCTCTAATATCGCTGCGCTTGTGACGCGTCCCCAGATTTACGAGTGTGGGAAAATAAACAAGTGAAATGTGGGTGCTGGAGCAGAAAGAATAAGCCATTAGCACTGGGTTGATTACAGAGAGCAGGACTTGAAGAAGAAGGAGAGTGAGTGCTCCGCGCAGATATGGAGAGAGAGAGAGACTGAGAGGCAGGAAAACAGGGGGCGCGAGAGAGGGAGACAAACGCCTTTGAGCGAGAGTAGATCTGCAGTGTTTAAACTCACCCATGTCTCTAATTGAAGTATGCCCCTGGGGCTGTCGGCGCTGCTCCACAGTGCGAAATCCAGTGTACAGATCTATTAATGTGGCTGCTTTGTTTCAATGACTGAGGAAAAGCTACGATCTAAGTGCCAGATTTTCTAGTCAAATTGATTTCACACCTGCCACAGAATGATCCAAGATGTTGTTAAATGTTTGTGAAGCAACACATGGAAGCTGTTTGGAATTCACAACCTGAAATGACTGGTGACCTCTGCAGTGTAAACGATAATCTTCTTTATTTGTCTTACAAGTGCATATTTTCAGCAAATGAAGTGATTGAGTTAATACAGTTCTGTATCGTTCAAAAGGAGCAGGAGGAGTGAATTAGCATTCCCTAAGCCAACTCCATATTTCCTCCTAAAGGAATCCCCCTGTTATAGGCTAATGAATAAAAGTCACAATATCAGAATAAATCTTTGCCGCAAATTCTCCCTTCTGGCGACATTATTAATAGATTCAGGAGAAGAATAGAGAGGGGGATTAATCTTTAAGATGATGGATGGACTCTGCTCGCCTTCCCATGCTCCTGCGTTAAGGTCATTTTGATAAGAGGCTATATTTTGGGGTCCTCTGTACAAAAGGTCATCATATCTACTTCCAGGTCCCTCTCAGAGTTCCGCTCTGGCTGCCAGGAGTGGAAGTGCTGTCCCGATTGCACAGGACCTCTGACCTCTAACTACCTGCTTACTATTACTCTGAACTCTCTCTTTCTCTAACTCTCTGGCTGTGTGGGCCAGTGCTGCTGTTCAGAGGAGAGAGCTGTGGTTTCGTCTGCAGCTCAGGGCGGTGCCGCTCAGCGCAGCGTCGTGTACCGACAGTGGGTATAATAGTGGGGTCACCCATGGATAATGGGCAGGTCAGATCAGCCACTGGCTGTTAGGAAGTGCAGGGTCAGAGGGCTCATCCTTCCCAGCCATCAGACCACGCTCTGCCAGGAACAACCGCAGTATAAACAGAACAATACACTTTACATAACATTAGTGGTACCTCTACTTCATCTTCATCTAATATTAAAGTATTTGTTTCAAGGCTCAGCAATAAGGAAAGAAACCAGATCACGATATTTCTGACCAAATACCAAGTTATCAATACCTTTCACAAAATATTTACGCAATTATAGTTTTGATAAATTATTATCAGTAGTGCCGATAAACTGACTAAGGGGGCTGAGGAAATACATTGGAAACAACCTGGTAAATCACATCACTTTCCAGCCTTTAAAACAAGGAAAGAACAAGATTTTGCCATAACACTAAATAACAAAATCCAAAATCTAAGAGGATATTTATCACATATCACAATATGAATATAATTTCAATATATTTTCCAGCCCTAGAATGTTTATGTATTTTACTGGTTACATTTTTAGCTTTACGTTATAAAGCTTGTTTGGCCCACTAGAGATTGTAATTCCTGTTTGTGTTTTTGCTGACTTTTTATCATGAAATTAGTTTCTCGCTGTGTTTATGTTACACACTGTTTTCATGATGGGACTTCAGCTCCATCTCCACCGCAGGCCTAATCTGTGCAGAATGGGTTATTTTCTCTCCCTCTGTTGGAGCTGCGAGGTGAACCCCCTCCAGCAGGCTCATTAGGGGAGTTTAGAGTGGCGGAGAGGGGATAAACATTTACCTTATGATTGTGTTTTACAATAAGCCCGATGCTAGTTGCCTTTATAGGGTTCAAAGGGGCCTGTTTTTACAGGCTGTGATGAAGCCACAGTAAAACCAGGGGGGGATTAACCAGCAGATGGATGCTGGGATGGTGGAGGGCGAGCAGAAGGAGATAGGAAAATACGGAGAGGGAAGGGTTTTTCACCAAAATGAGACAAAGGGATATGTTTAAGATATGTTTAAAGAATCAAAATGTTGTGGGTTATGATACATTTTCCATCTTATTTTTGAAATAACAATTTCGTCAGGTAGCAGATGTTTGAGCTCAGCATCTCTTGTCGTCTGTACCATGACTTAACTACATGTTTTTTTTCCCCACATCCTCCTTCCCTATCCATCTCCTATTCCGCTCACAGTTCAGGCAGGTTAAGTTGCTGGTTAATAACCAAAGTGTTTCCTGCGTGCTGAAGATTTATTTTTCCTGATTGCCTTTAAAATTCTGCTTATCTTTGACTCCAATGTCTCCCTCAGGGAGCTGTAATGGACTCCCCTGAGATACAGTGGGCCAACCAAGGCCCTTGGCCCGAGTAGATTACAATACACACACATACACACTCGTGCGGCATGGTCTTATTTTGTAATTTCTTTCCTTTTTTTAATCCAAAATGCTTATTTTCCCCACTGCCCCTTTCTACAACACATGCTAATGAGCTGCTTTGTAAGGGCGTTAATTAGCGAGCTAGTCACTGATTGCTGTGCTTGTTTTTGTTGTGTGTGTGTGTGTGGCAGGGGGGTATTAATATGGCTGCGTGCCGCTGAGGAGAGTTCTGTCAGGGTCTGCTCTGGAACCAATTAGGCTAAAGCTCAGTGTCCACTGAGGCTGCTGGGAGAAAAAAGCCTGCTGCTTGCAATGTCAAACAGCAACATTAACACAGGCCAGAGAGGCAGAGCGAGACAGGCGGACTGAGAGCCGATAAGCAGCGGTCACTCACACTGCAGACACTCTCTGCTCTGCGAGATATGAAAAATAGTCAAAGAATACAAACCCTCTGTCACAAACCTCTACCTTCACCATTGTTATTAGATTCAATCCTTCAGATATTTAGAACGATATATCTATACGGTTTCCTCTTTCAGGTAAAGTGACGTACGCAGGAAAGGTCTTGAAAGACAGACGGGAAGAAGGCGGTCTCTTCTTGAGGTTCTTGGTGCATAAACTTGTTTACTCCTTCCTGAGAATGTCACATGAGTCCCTTTTTTTGTTATTGAAAAAAAAAACTCTTGCATGATTGTGATACATGCATGCATTCAGACCCCTCTGTGTCACCATGCTCTACCTTTAACCCAAATCACACTTGTTAGCACAGGAAAAGTGTTGTGTGTGTGTGTGTGTTTGTGTGTGTGCATGTGTGTGTGCGTGTGTGTGTGCATTTGTCCGTTTGTCCGGTGCATAACCTCCTGTGTCAGTGTGACAGGCCCTGTGCCCCGCTGGCCACCATGCCATGCCACGCTCTCCCTACTGAGGCCAACAGGAAGTGACACATGTGAAATGCTGACCTGGTGGGTTACATCCCCCTCCAGGGCCTCAGGATGCTGCTCTTTTAGTCACTCTTCCCCTCTCTTCCCCTTCTCCCTTGCTCTCTCTCTTTTCATATCTCTGAAAGGCCAAAAGACTTTTGTCCCCCTCCGTTCACCCTTCGATTACGTTCCTTTTTTTCCTCTTATTTCCTCTCATTTCCCTCCCACAATGATTAAGGAAACAACAGCAGCCAATTTCCCAGGTCAGTGGAGTAGGTCTGTGACTCTCTTTTATGCTGCCAGAGAAGCCCGTAGATATACGTTTGTCATTTGCAGGATTTTAAACGTAATTTTATTTACTTGTAATTATTTCCCTGGTTTTCTTTTCCTGCCAAATATGTTTAAAATCAAGTCATACTGAGCTGAATTTCTTTTCATTTTGAACTTAAATAACAAATAGAAAAACAAATGTTTATGATTGTTTGAATACAAACATGCATGCCCTTTTATGGTTAAGGATGCCTCACATGGTGCACTTTCTTTCATTAAAGACCAGAGCAAAAGTAATTTTATTTTGCATGTGGTTATGCTGACACACCACAGTTTGAGCTCAGATAAATCCAGTGGAGATTGTTGTTGGGGATGTTGACGCTTGTACTTAAAGAGCCCAAGAGCCCCTTCTCAGATTGTCCCCAGACTATACTGACATTACACCTGCACTTCCATCTCTTGCTGCTCTCCCAATCCTCATCTCCAATATCAGGTGCATCCACTGAATCATTGAGAGGGTGGCGGCTTTCCCTTATTTCCAGGATAAGGTATTGGGAAAATTGTTCTGTTTCCTGGCATATTAGTGGCATGCGTCCACCTCTCCAGGGAGCCCTTATTTACTTATTTATTTGTTTGTTTCCTACCTGCATTCTGTCTGTGGACTGGGAATAAAAAGGTCCCACTCCCCTAACTACAGTCTACA